CAGGGATTTAGTTCAGTGGTTCTGGTGCCTTCCTCGAAAGTGCAAGGTCCCCAGTTCAATCCCTGGTACCAAAAAAAAAGAAAGAATAAGCAATTGAAGTGGTGGGGATGGGGTGAGATGGGATAGAAGAAATTTTTTTTAAAAAGATAGGTAGAAAAGGAACAAAGAAAATCCTTGGGCTGGGGATTTAGCTCAGTGGTTTCTCTGCCTGCTGTGCAAGCGCAAAGACCTGAGTTCAATCCCCAGTACCAAAAAAAAAAAAAAGCTTTTGCACAGCAAGAGAAACCACCAACAGAGTGAAGAGACAACCCACAATGTAGAAAACAATTTTTACCAACTATTCATCATATAAAGAACTATTTAGAATATATAAAGAACTCAAAAAATCAGAAGCCCCCCCCAAAATTTAAAGACCCAATCCAAAAATGGGCATCTGAAATGAATAGATACTTCTCAAATGAAGAAGTAGAACCAGCTAATAAATATATATAAAAAAGTTCAACATCACTATTCATTTGAGAGATGCAAATGAAAATAAATCTGAGATTCACTACAGAGAAAATGGCTATTATCAAGAAATCAACCAATAACAAATGCTGGCGGGGATGTGGAGAAAAAGGAACCCTTCTCCATTGTTGGCAGCAGTATAGATTGGTGCAACCACTCTGGAAATCAGTGTTGAGATTTCCTCAAAAAACTAAAATAGAGGTTTTTCTCAAAGAACTAGGACTGGAAATCCCATTTGACCCTGCTATTCCCCTGCTGGGGATCTTCCCCAAAGAATTAAAAGAATCATACCACAGTCATATATGTGCACCCATGTTCATAGCAACACAATTTGTAATAGCTAAAAATTGGAAACAGCCCAAATGCCCATCAACTGGAGACTGGATAAAGAAAATGTGGTCTTTTTATAAAATGGAGTACTACTCAGCCATAAAAAATGAGAAATTAGAGACATTTATTGCTAAATGGGTGCACATTGAGGCCATACTCTTAAGTGAAATAAATAGGACACATGTGTAAATACTGAATAATTTCTCTAGTGTGAGAAATTGAAAGTGTAAATAAGGACTGAAAGGTATAATAGATAATGTGAAATAAGAAGAAAGGGGGCAAAGGGAAAGGGGAAGTGGGAGGGGTAGGGGAAAGGAAAAAAGAGAATGGAATTAATATGAGAAAATGAAAAAAATGAAACAAAGTCTTTGTAAATAGGGAGGGATGGAGGGGTTGAAAGGAGGGCAGGGGAAGGAGGAAAAATAAGAACCAAGAGAGTATGTAAAGGTGCAAATTTCCAATGATGAATGTCATTATATTGTATACGTAAAATGTACCAATAAAAGGATATACAGAGGGGCCGGGGATTTAGCTCAGTGGTTCCGCCGCCTGCTTCATAAGCGCAAGGACCCAAGTTCGATCCCGGTACCAAAAAAAAAAAAAAGGGATATACAGAAAAAAGAAAAAAAACTAAAATAGAGGTTTCGTTTGACTTAACTATTCCCCTTCTTGGTATCTTCACAGAAGAATTAAAAGCATCATACCACTATGCACACCCATGTTTATAGCAGCACAGTTTGTAATAGCTAAAACTTGGAAACAGCCCAAATGCCTGTCAGTTGACGAGTGGATAAATAATATGTGGTTTTTTTAGTACAATGGAGTATTACTCAACCATAAAGAAAGATAAACTTGAGAAATTTATAGCTAAATGGATGCACCTCGAGACCATACTCTTAAGTGAAATAAATCGGACACACATGTGTAAACACCACATTGTTCTTCTAGTGTGAGAAACTGAAAGCATAAATGAGGACCAAAATGTATAATAGATATTATGAAACAGGAAGAAAATGTTCAAATGGGTAAGGGAACTAGGGAGGTGGTGGGGGAAAGGAAAGAAGGGAAAGGGATAAAAATGACAAAAGAAGGAAAAAATGGAAACAAAGCTTTTGTAAGGAAGGCTGGAGGGAAGGAAGGGGAATTAGGAAAAATAAGAACCGAGATGTATTGTGTACAGTTACAGATTCCCTATGTGATGAATGTGATCATTATGTATACCTAAAACATACCAGTAAACTTAATTAATTCAAAAAAGGGAGATGGATTTTGGGTTTATTAAGCACAAATAACATTTTCCTTGGATTTGAACTTAAATCAACAACTTCATGCAGTTAGTCATTCTGGCACTGTTAAGTTCATTCTGAACAGTGGGAAAACTTATATACTGTAATTGGGTTGTCAAGGACGTGGTGGGAGGATATTGGGAATAAGGGTACCAAAGGATATTGATGAAGTGGCATCTTTCTTGAGGGAAAGAAAGCATGTTGGTCTGAAATTGGAAGGGTAGAAGTGGGGATAGTTAGTGGTTTTTCTGAAGAATTTGTGCCACAGCATTTGGGAACCAGGTCAGTATAAGCTGCTCTTCCTTCAGTGCTGCCGTTGACCAGTTTAGTGTAGGAGGGTACCTCTTGACTGAGAGCTCTGCCTCCTGCTGCAGAGCTGAAGTCTCCTCCAGCACCCCTTCCCCACCTCACCTGGTCTGCACAAAGGACTTCCGACAGGAATCCTTAATTCCCATTTCAGTAGTAAGGTAACTGCTGATACTTATAGGACTGTGAATTTTTGTTCCCTGAACACTGAATGCATTTATACTGAACTAACATGAATATTTGAGTTCATTTTGTTAGACCATGATTTGCACAGTTTTACACTATATGATTACTTTCCTAGTATTAAATGTAATAATTTACTGAATCTGTCTCCCCTGAATATATTGTGGAACATTTTTGTCTCTATTTGACATCTCTTATTTTTAAAATAATTTAGTTATATATCAAAAAAAGATTATTTACTTTTTATCTGGTTAAAGGGGAAAATAGCATTTTAAAATTTTGTCAGCTGAGTAAGCAAGTAACACACTTGAAGGAAGAATTGAACAGAGTGCCTGCACTGTGTTTGCTGCATGTTCCCAAGCCAAGAAATGGGGGAGAATATTTACCTTAGGCCTAGCTGCAGGTCTCTTTGTCTTCATAATCTTAGGCAAGTTATTCAGATAGGTAATTTATAAGCCAGAATCTGAAAATGGTTTGGAAAGTGTATGATGTTTACTTTATCAGTTCCTTTGTTTTGATTTCACTAGATTCCTTACATTCTTTTTATTTAAACCTTAAGTTTGTAGGGTGGAGCATGTCTTTCCTCTTGACTAGTTACAGTGGATGTACTTTGATTACTTTATTTTTAGGGAGGAAGAAGCTTTATTTAAGTGATAAGGTGTTAGGAAATAGCTATATTGAGAATTTTCTACTGTGTAGATTTTTTTTCTCATTTCTAAGCTACAGTAGACATTATTTTGTAATTATGTTTCCATTCGCTCTTTCATAGGTATTGTTTACTTGAGCATTTCCTTTCACCAGGTATTTTTAAATAATATCAATAAAATTGTTTCAATTAACTGTTTCACTTACGGCCATGTGGAAACCACAGATATACATTAGAAAGATAGCATTCCTTCCTTAGGTATTACATTAGAACATATTTAAGAATCTTACAATGTGGTAAATAATATTCACAGCAGCATCAATTAGTAGTAAGATTTAATGCTTATTCCAGGAGTTTAAGTCAATACTGCAGGATTTTACTGAATTTAAAATATTTAAATGCCAGTTTTATCACCTGAGTTCATACTGATGTTTTGTCATTGGGATTGTCCTTTTCCTCCAGTTAAATATATACCTGTCAGTTTCCTGTGCAGTTAGTACCATATGATTCTGAAGGCACCTGTAGTGTACCCACTCTGTCACCACCATGCTGCAAGGATCAGGAAGTAGTATGAGAATCAGAACATTCAAGAAGTAGCATGCAAAAATCAGAAACATTTTCCAAGGAAAGAGAGCAGCATATACTACTCAGATGCTTAAAAACCCAGATATTCAAAGAACCAAAATGTCTTTGCATAAAAGTAGAGACTTGTAAGGTGATCTGATCGAGGGGCGGGCAGTAAGTACATTAGCGATCTGAGGAGTTTGGATTTTTTTCTGAAGGAAGTAGCCATTCGATGTCTGAGCAGGAGTGTGGAATCTGATTTGTATTTGAAAAAGATTTCACTGTAGCTATAATGTGCAAAGTTGATGTAAAAGGAGTGAGGCAGAATGGGAAGGCTGTGAGATCTGTTAGCAAATTTCATACTTAGGTACCAGTGCTCAAAGCAGCGTAATTTTAAGAATCCAAATCAGCAGCAGAATGGGTAAATAAATCACAGTACATTCATACAATAGAACCCTCTCCTGCACTGAGAAAGAATGAACTATTGCTGTGCATAGCACATGGACAAAGTTCAGCAAACACAGTGTTCCAACAAAACTGGACACCATTATACAATAGAGTCCAATTATACAGAGTTCAAAAGCAGGCAAGACTAGTCGTCTGATGATAGACCATAGTAGTGGTTGCCTTAGGGGTGGAGGTTGGGACTAGGAGTGGATACTTCTAGATCTTGGAAGTGATAAGATGGGCATGTTCAATTTGTGAAAATTGATCACACTTAAAAATTTCTTAACTCCACAGTAATATGTGTTGATTATAATGTATTTAAATCCCATTTACTCATCTGCTAGGCATATATACTATTCTGCCATTCCCAGCTCCTTCCTGTCTAGTCACTTATTTGGTCTGCTCCTTGTGCCTTCTGTTTTGCAACTCACTGAAGCAGGATAGAGATTTTGTTGGCTGGCAGCATAAGCTTTGGACACATTTCTTAACCCATTTCATTCCACTGGGTGATATTTCTCCTGCAGGCAACTTTGCCAGAGCTTGAGCTTTGCCCTCTACTTGAAAATGTAGGACTTGGTAAAATCCTAAATTACTGTGGATATACTAACGAAATGGAAATGTATATACTTAAACAGAGAAGTCTATAGGTTTCCCCCTTTGTACAAGCATTTTAACTTGGAAAGTATATTGGGGTTTTAAACACTTAGTTGAATCAGGAGCCATACCTTACAGTTGAGCAATTCATATTGTTCATGAGCTCTAGGTTAGGTGTGTGCTTTCTTCATTCAGTCTGACTGCTCACTGACAAGGCACATCCATCTTCACTTGGTACTGTAGTTTCAGTCAAGGCAGGAATTAGACCTAGCTCAATCTATAAATAGGCTGTTGTCAGTTAGAGTACCACTTTAGTCAGCGACACCGATGATATTAACAGTGTCAGATTCCTTGACCTCAGATTTCACAGTGCATATCTCAAACTTAGCATCTGTTTTCTCTAGTAATAGTGAATCCCCGTAAGTCAATGTAACATTGTGTAGTTTGGAAGCCCCAGACTCTCCTAATTGCAGAGCAGCAAACAATTAGACTCTCCTATTTAATGACTTAAATTTTCCTCAGAAAACATAAAGGATAAGCAAAATTATTCTTGACTCTTAAAGATTAAAGGAAAACTTACTTCTTTTACAAACTGTTCCAATGGATGCTTTTTAAAAGTGTGTCAGTGAACTGAAATAGTTCCAACTTAACAAAGATTCCTAGGGATCATGAGTGGTTAGTTTTGCCAAGTCTAATTTCTGGCTTTCATGCTATTGAGGCATTTAGTTCTTTCTCAACTGAATAAATTTAAGGAACATTTAAACTGTTCTGCTGTGTATACTATATTAATTAAGTCTTAAAGTGTAACCTGGTAGTTGTATAGTCTAGCAACAGCTTTGACCCAGCAGTCTCGGGCTCATAGTTTCTTCAGTTATGTATATTTGTTTTATTACTATTTCCTCACAGAATTATTTTGTTTTGTCTTTGAAATATTTATGTACTAATATAGCTTAGAAATAAACCCCTCTAAAGAAAAATATATTGGCATATGAAGTTTGGATTTTTGAAGTTAACACTATCTTAAGGATAAATATTGTCTGTTGAAAGTTTTCACATTTATCTTATTATAATATAAAAATGGGTCTGCTGGGTGAAGGGCGCACAGGTAATGGGGGGAAAAAAATAAGAACCAAGATATATCATGTACAGGTACAAACACCCAATGATAAATGTAAATGAATTTTATACCTAAAATGTACCAATAAAATGTACCAATAAAATTAATTTTTTTAAAAATGGGTTTGCTTGTCCGAATCGATAGATTCTATACTTATGAACAAGAAGTCCATAGTCATCTTTGCTACATGGATGAAAAATAAATGTCTTTTTATTCTCTACTAAGTAAACTGGTAGATTTCATTGCAAAGTGATAAATAATTTATTTTAAATATTAAGGTCAAGAATTAAATTATTATATGTAAATGATGACTGTAAAATAGTGAACATAATTTGCCATCACTAATGAAGTGACCCATGTCTGTTCAGATGTGAACAAGAAGAATGATTCTGCCTTTGGCATACAGCTTATGGACAGGACAAAGACTCCAGGGATCAGATAACATTTTAACTCCAAGTGTAGATCTGCTACTGCTTTGCTAACATAGGGGACTTGAAAGGAGCTGTTTTTATCAGAAACCTCAGGGGTCATTTATTCTCTAAGTCTGATTTGATTATTGAAGTGAGCTCCGTGCTTCTCAGTTTTGTAGTAATAATCGTACTAAAATATATCATTCAGCTTAATAGTGTTGGGTTTATAGCTACAGCGGTCACCTCTACTTGATTACTTTCTCTCTTGAGCCAGGATTAATGATTACTAATGTCTTTGTAAGTTTTACTAATAACTTTTATAAATACAAGTCACTTTTTAGCGGTTATGAGTTTATTCGGATTTGGATCTGCCACCTGCTGGCTAGGTGATCCTGGGTGAGTGTCTAGCTTCTCTGTGCCTCATTTTCCTCTTTTGTTTAATAATAATTCATGGCACATAGAGCTACAGATGAGTATTGAAAAGATGGTATGTAATTGTGACAGCAAACATTGCATCTCTCACCTCAAGTTCCATAAGTGTTAGCTATTTACTGTTTTCATGGTGGATAGATTCAGTAAACACAAACATTACCATTTGATTATCTGGTTCTTCAATGAAGGTACAGTACTAACGTATACCTGCTCAAGGAGAAATATCACAAATATACTTGTGATTAAATCTACCTTTTAAATATCACCAAGTTTTTGATAATTTTTTTCAGTAGAAGTATACTCACTGCTGGTTTCCTAATGATCAGTGAACAAGAGCCATGTTGTAGTAGCACACATACTAGGAAGCATGATTTAATTGGCACTAGAGCAGCATTTTTCACCGTAGGACTTTGGGGTGTGTACGGTACTCTAATCACAGTTCTGAAACAGCTAGTAAAGTTAAACCATCGCAGAACTTGGCACTAGTCACATGCCTCAAGCTATCTCTGGAGGCCCACAAAATAGACTGGGACCTAAAAGAAGTGTAACTGCAAAACAGATAGATTTTTATGTTTCATTTTTACAACACTGAAGCAAAAAATAGAACCCAGTGGTGTGTTATTTTTATATTAGTTAAGAAATTTTTTGCTAGTAGAGTCAAATTCTAAGGTCATCCCATATTATTTCACCTTCCATAAACATAAGAAAATTAGCAAAATCAGAACACATGTAATTTTTTATGCTAACATTCTGATATCAGTAATAACTTTGCAGAAACAGCTTCTTTAACATCTGTACTGAACCCTGTCCTTCAGTACATGTAAATTTTAATCATTTAACTTCAGTTTTCTGAACTGTCTAAATTAATATTATTCCAAAGATGGGCTCTGTAAACCCCTGTTCATGTGACCCTGTTGATACTAATGCTAACTGAAAGGCAAGATACCCTCTCCACTTTGTTTCAGTGAACTTTTTGAAATGAGTGACTGCTATGGTTAAGATGTGGGTCGAGTGTCCTCCCGAAGTTGCTGTGTTAGAAAGTTGGTTCCAGGGTGGCTGCATTAGGAGGTGATATAGACTTGATATAGAGGTGGTGAGGCCCGTGGGAGGTCCTTAATTAGTTGGACTCCTGTCCTCAGAAGGGAGGACCCTGGCTAGTTCTGGCAAGAGGGTAGTTATGAAAGCCTGAGCCTGGTCCAACACAGTACTCTTGCTTCCTGATTTGAGATGTGATTACTTCCTCTCTCTTGTGCTCCCGCCATGATGTGCTGCCATCCACAACTAGGCCCTTAATGGAGGCCAGACCAATGGGGCCCCCCAGTCTTTGACTATGAAGCTATAAAACTGAGCTAAATAAAACTCTTTCCTTTGAAGAGTGAGCTCTGCCTCCAGTGTTTCATTGTAGTCATACAAACAGACTAATGCAATGACCTTTACATGACTAGACAAGGTACCATCATGTGCCCACCCTTCTCTGACACTTCTAAGCATGAGGAGTCCATAGCTACCTTATCATTTCAGCAGACAGCCAAATGTATTTTGGGGTTTTGCTGATAGGCTTGCAACTTGAGAAGAAGATATAGCAAGGCTGGAATAGAAGAGAGGAAGGGAAAAAAATTAAGAATGCATGTCCTGAGAATAGTAACACTTGAGGGTGGCATTTGAGTTAGAGTTGACACAGGATTACCTCTGCCAGGGAGATTGAAACCATCACAAATTGCTTCCACTGGGGGCTTTGAGGGCTACTGGAGGCTTTGAGCTAGGCTGAATTGCATGTTTTTCTGTGTTGGTCTTAGTTTGTTTCTATCACTTTCATGACCACTCACCTATGATTTGACCATTGTCTCACACCACCTACTGCCCTGAGCTCTCTGTGTGCCTTTTTCTCCCATCACCCTTTTCAAGGTATGATGTGCCAAGCTTAAAATCCCAAGCAAAGTGCTTGCTCTTCTGTCAGCTAGAAGCCAAAGGAATTCAGTGTAATGAACATGTTTTTGTGTTTCCTTGGGCTATTAGAATGATTTTACAAAAATAACTTGGAAGGAATAGGGAACAAGTAACTTTTAGTGCTGTCAGTGTGTTAGACTAGTAAGAGAAGTTATTTTGAAGCAAAATTTATTTTTGAGACTTAACCTTGATTATTGGAAACATCTCTTTTCTAAATTATAAAGATTTTGGTTTTTCTTGAATTACAACTATTACATAAAATCTGTATTTCTACTTAGAACTTTGACAGGTCAAAATTGACCCAAATTGTTAATTTAGGAATAAGTGCCATCCTTTATTTGATGTGCAAACTACTGTGCTCCCAAAAGGTTTTTAATACTGTTCCATGAGTGTTTTTAACACCTCTAGGTGTGGAGAAGACTGTATTTCCAAGTCATAGATATGCGTTTAACATTATACATGGTTTAGGAAAATAGAATCGTTGGTAATCTGTCTGGAGATGAGCTTTGAAATAAACTTAACTGAAGGTTAAGAATTTTTTTAGCACTAAAAAAATGATGCTAAACAGAAAACTAAAGTTTTGTTCATTTAAACATTGTTTTAAGGGAAAAAAGGTCAATAGATCCTTATTCTTATGAAAATAAATTTATATTTTAGCATATTTTATACATAATTGAAATTTTAAAATATGACTTATTTTTTTCTAATGTCTGTTTAAAATTTGTGAGGTTGTTGACTGTTCTTCACTGCATGATATAATAACCTAAAATGATTTTATTTTAGATGCTATTGTCAGTGTTTCCAAAAATTCTCATTGTTGTTGATTTTTCCTTCTGTATAAAAGTGTAAAATTTTTAAAAGTTAGAATTTTTATCCCTACACACAGAAAAGATTTTTTAATTCACACACATGCCACAAACCCTGCACTGTACATTTTAAAAAGACAAAACACGCTGTTTCCACTAATCAACATTGCATTGGAAAAGGATTATTTAACAGAGTAGATTCAAATGGTTTGAACTCACAAAAACTGTAAGAACTCTCTAAGAAGCTTTGCTTTTTTGTTTAAGGCAGGAGGTTAAATAATCATCTATGTTCAAACATCTTATTTAGGACTTTAGAAATAAACCTGAATATAATTTTCCCAAACTAGAAGATAGTTTATTGGTCCTGAAAAACAAATGTGATCATCAGACAGTCATTCTGACATATGTTTATTGTAATTTAAACTTTAGTGTATTAGCATGGTGTGTAGTTGGTTTGCTTCTTTTGTTTCTTCTAGAATGGCAAGTTTGTACATATTGTTAATTGATAGAAACAAATTTCCAAGAAATTATAGGTTCAACTTCTTAGGGTAGTTTTGGACATTTTAAAAGCACCTGTTTGAGTCCAGAGTGGTGGTAGATCCCAGTCATGCCAGCAAAAAGGACTGGGGATGCAGCTCAGTGGAAAGGCCCTGAGTCCAGTCTCTGCCACCTCCGAGTAATAATAATAAAAGCATATATTGGGGTACTTGAATCCTTATGGAGAAGGCTGGGCTTATCTGTTCTTTAATTTCTTTATTCAACTAAATTTCAAATGTGTATCCAAATTACTAGATTTGTGACCTTAAAAAGTTAGTTTAGCTCTTTGAGAGTCACTTTTCTCCTCTTTAAAAAGGGATTAATGTCTAGCTCAGTGAATTGTGAGGGATAAATGAGATTCAGTACATGGTGCCTGGATTAACAGTAAACACGGATCCCAATTATGGCAATTGCTGTCATTGCAGAATAGTCACTTGGGCATGGGCATGTAATATTTTGACAATGATAAATCAGTGGATGTATTTGAGTGTTGTCATCTGAGGATGATGAACAGTAAAAAAAAGAACATGGGTTTATTTGATTGAATAATTAATATACACAGATTAGTTAGACTTGCAAATTTTAAAAACATGCCATCAAAGAAGAAATCTCATGATTTAAGCATATCTAAAAGAAAATATAGGACCCTTCTTTAGAAAAGTTGGATTAATAGTTACATTGAAGACTTTTCATATGGAGAAAGAGAAATACAAGACTATTACATTTTTTCACCTGTTCTACATTGGCCCTAACAAAACTTTAAACTGTGTATCCTTCACTACTTCTAGGTGCCTCAAGATGCATTAAAAGGGCAGCATATGTCTCTCATTTTATACAGAGACATATTTTTCAAAAGGCGGTAGTTTGCATCCTGTAGTTCAGCAGGATATTTTACAGCATTGTAGCCCTTTTCCTCAACCCTTCCCAATTGGTAAGTTTAACAAAGTCTAGCCAGTTTCTCTGCTGTGCGATATCAGCATCCTTATCTTGCTGTGCACTGTTATCTCCTAGAGTATTAAAATTGGTCCTAAGCTACCTGTGTGCTTGCTTCTAGTGTCCCAGTAATGGCTTTATAGCTGCCAACACAAAGAAGATTATAGTCTTTTAAAATACACAGTCACTTGTCATTATTCACAGGATTTATGTTCTATAAAGTCATCAGGAATACTCAATTAGAGAATATTGAACCATTTTTCCTACAGAAAATATAGTTTCCTTTGAGCCTCTGGTTACAACGTTTTTGTAAACCAATTAATACATAACTTTATGTTACTTGTTTTTCTGTTTAAAGACATTTTATCTAATGTAGATTTTAGATTCATTGACATTAAACTCACAGCTGGCAACGTAACACATGCTTGAAGGAAGCTTATCTAGCATCAGCCACATCTTAGCCTTCTTGCTGGAGAAACACAAACAGCACTTCAGCACTATGTCTAGGGACCATTCTAAACTGTGAAATCACCAACAAAAAGTGCAAAAGAACATGGCAGTAAACAGACAGATAAAAGGGCACTTGCTGACAGTATGAGAGCTAAAAACGAAAAGGAAGAGTAGCCCCCAGGTCAGCCTCAGCTGGAACATGACTCAGACAGCTCAGACTTTTCATTGTTCTGAACATATCCTTGAATAACCATGAAAACCCCAGTACTGATTTCTGAGATTACAAATAAATTTTAGTAAGCAGGCAAATTCACCAATATGGCACCTGCAAATAACGGAATTCCTTACTGAAGCACCGATCTCATGGGAGTGTCTCCACAAATGCAGGTGCTTAGCTCCATTCTGCTTTTACAGTGATAAATGCTTAGCTAAAGAACACTTGTTCCCTGGTAGCATGTTACTGAACAAAGATTACTAAAATATAGAAACTTCATAAGGATAACAATAACTGAGCCATATTAATACCTTTACAGGAGACCCTTATACTGTCTGCATCACTGTTTCCATGGGAAAGTTTATTCCAAATTCCAACTGGAATGCCCACATCCTTTGCTTCCAGAGTCCTCTGTCCCAGTGATGAGCAATCCACCACACTCACCTACAGTGTAGGAGGACTTCCATATTCCCTCCATCTGAGTTCTAGGGTGGGGTGCAGAGCTGTAGGAACTGGGCTGGGGAGGGAAGGTATGAAGGAAAATTATGGTTGCAGCTCCTACAGACGAGTACCAGGGGCTTCTGCTGGGAAGATAGGGATGTGGGTTCTTCTCATGAGTTAACACTGGTTTTTGGAGAATCTTGGAATAATTGTCAATGCAGTCCAAAGTCCAACAGAAGCTGTCTTCTCCAGAAATGGTGCCTCTTCTAGAAATAAGGCTTGGGCCAGGCAGGTCTGTTGATCTGCTTCCTGAAAGCTTTTCCTATCCTCCTTAGGTTCCATCTGTAAAAGACACAAAACAAAAATGCAAGGCGGGAATTTAGCTCAGTGGTTCTGCCACTTGCCTTGAAAGTGCAAGGACCCAAGTTTGATCCCCGGTACCAAAAAAAAAAAAAAAAGTAGACACTGGTCTTCTCTATGTAATGACCCATAGTGGGAAGTCCTAATCAAGAATTTAATTATTTCACACATTTATATTATGAAGCAGTTTTTATTTGTGTTCAGTGCTTTTGTATAAGATTACTTTGTAATATTTAACAGATGTGTGTGTGTTTTATGTTCATTTGTATTCACTTAATGGCTAAAAAGTTCAGCATGAAATAATGATACTTCAGATAGAAAAATATGTGGTAGTATATATACTAAAGACTAAATAGGTCTATAGCATATAGATGAGCTAGAATAGTCAAATTCATAGCAATAGAGAGAATAAAATGATATTTGGCAGGGGCTGGAGGCAGAAGGGAAATGGGCACTTGGTGTTTATGGCATGTAAAGTTTCAGTTACACAAGGTGCATGAGTTCTAGAGATCTGTTCTATAGCATTGTGCCTGTAGTTAACAGCACTGTGCACTTAAAAATGTGTTAAATGGATAGATCACATGTTCTACTACTTTTAAAATATGAGTCCCTGATTTTCTTTTAAATAACAGGTTTCTTTGGTGGGGGGTAATGAGATCTATAGCCTTTTTGGTAGGTTTCTCAAGTGTAAGATTTTTTAATGAAAAATAAGAGACTAGATATTAAATAGACTTTAATTCACATTTTTAATTTAATAAAGCAATTTGGTAATATCTAACCATTTTTATACCTGATTTTTATCCCAAGAAAAAATACTACATGTTCTCTTTTTAGTAAATAGGGTGCCTAGCAGATAAGGAAACAAGTCTTGCAAGTCAGAACTCCTGTTTCTTTCCTTAAATGTTCCCTAGATTGGGGGACAGCTGCATGTGCAACACTTATTTGAAATTTAGACTGCAGAGCAGCCAATTGAAGGCTCAGAAGTATAGCTGCAAAGGAACTTGTTTAACTTTATTAGGTTTCCTACATTTCTTTGACATTGGAACCCTTTTTCCCCAGGACCATTAACATATTAACATCTATAGGGCCTCATAACTTGCAACACAGATATGGGAATCAGCTGGTCTTTGGCAAGATCTCTCTCTCTCTCTCTCTCTCTCTCTCTCTCCCTCTCCCTCTCCCTCCCCCTCCCCCTCTCTCCCTCCCTCTCTCCCCCTCTCTCCCTCTCCCTCCCTCCCTTCCTTCCTGCCTTCCTCCCTTCCTCCCTTCCTCCCTCCCTCCCTCTGCCTGTGTATGTCTGTTTGATATATATACTGTTCATACATATCACAGAGACACACACCTGTATATGTAGGGAAAATAATATTCAGATTAATAGCCCTTTCTTGTTTTCAGGATGACAAAATGTAGGTTTTGTACCTTGTTTTTGTACTTTCTAAAAGTAATTTGGTCTTTCTTTTTCACTTCATATGTATTCCAGCTCATCCACCTAGGTGACCAGCAGCCCAGAACTGTCTTAAATCCTTTAAGACAACATATAAGAGGCAAGCTACTATTTGCGGTAGAAGAAAAATTTTTAGTATTAGGCAAACTTTTTGTATTAGTTATTAATCCTGAAACACCAGTGGTATTACAAACCTTAAATCCAAATGTTCTCTTAGTTAAATCAATATTTATTGCATCTTGCAAACTTTTAACATTCTTTTTTTTTAAAACAAAGGAGGAGAGCACAAAACAATGGGCAAACAAAATAAATCCAAGATTAATTATTGACTTAACACGGGAAGAGTTGAGGTTTTTAAAACCCACAGAAAAAGAACTGTGCATAATTGATTGTTAGCAAGATAGTAACATTCAGATCAATAGATGAAACCAAGGCCTTTGATGTGACTAGATGAGAACGTAAAGTTTCCTACTTGGCATCTGAAAAATCTGCTTGGCAGATAAAGCAGTTGGCAAAGACAGCAAGTACAACTAAAGGTTATGGTTTATATCGTTTGAATAACTCTTCTGACTTAATAAAATTAACAGACTGTACTAATTGAGAAAGAAAAAAGCATTTCATCTATAGGTAAATTGTCAGCCTTCAAAGAAATTCATTTCCTTCAACATGTACACACCTGTCTCCATGCAGTGCTTGGTGTGGGCATTTCCGTGTGAGGCCCATACACTCCATCCTGTGGAGGGGCTGGGGATCCTCTGGAAGAGGGATGCAAAGACTTAATATTCAGTGCAGGCAAGGCTATGGAAATGGTTCTGTTATTTTAAGATTCCTAAAATGACAGGAAATTTTTTTTCTTTTTTTAACATCAGAACTACCCTAATGAAAGAGTGCACAAAAAAGAGACAGAAAAAGAGCATATACACTGAGTAGTAGGCCTTGAGCCATAAGAGTGTTTAACCCAATGGATCATAACATAATTAAAATTATTATGAAAGTAGTTGTAATATGAAGCATTGTCATGACTGCTGCAGTCAGTTCTGTAAAGTGAGTAGGAATGTAGCCAGGTGCACACCTGTAATGCTAGCACTCTGGGAGGCTGAGACAGGAGAACAGCAAATTTGAACCCAGCCTGGGCAACTTAGTGACTTAGCAAGACCCTGTCTCAAAATAAAAAATAAAAAGCTAGGGATCTAGCTCAGTGCAAAATCCCTGGGTTCATTCCAAGTATTGGAGAAAAATAAAGTAGGCATGTGGACTCTAATGATAGTGGGATTATGATACATTAAAACTTGTTTTGTTTCATATAATATTTTAGATGATGATACTCTGTAATAAATGTTGGTTTCCTTTATTATAAGTGATATTTTCCTCTTTTTAGCTGACTACAGACCCTGCCTTCTCTGTGTCCCCAAAACCAGAGACATGACCTGACATCCTGATGACTTCCCTCAGGGCCTTTGGCTGACTGGCCAGTGCACCATGGAACTTAAAGTATGGGTGGATGGAGTCCAGAGGATCGTTTGTGGGGTCACCGAAGTCACAACTTGCCAGGAGGTCGTAATAGCCTTGGCCCAAGCTATAGGTAAGTGAACTCTGAGGGTGTCTGAGATAAAAGTAATTTATGATTCTTTTTGGGGGTGTTTGTGTGTGAGTGTGTGCGCACATGCAGTTTAAATATAGGTCTCTAGTGGGTTTTGTTCATTTGGTTCCATAATCTCACAGACAAGGCACACTTTTGCTTATTACCATTTGCCCATGTTTAGAAAAATCTGTGATGTTTGTTCTCCGATCTGCTTCCCTCCCAGATTTTATTGACCTTGAAGCTAGCTAGAGTCAGTACTGTCTTCTTGCCAGATGTTTATCCTAGACAGTGATTTCTGGAACTGTAGATGTTTTATTAATCCAGAATATAGATTCTTAGTTCTTAGAACCCCTCATAAGGAAAACTATTTATTGTCAATTTCTCAATATTTTTAGAAAAGACAATACAGCAAATTAAATAACATGGTTCTTCATTAGAAAGATAACATACACTTCTTAAGTTGTACTGTACAGGGAAAAGGAATTTGTCATGTGCATGTTTACTGGCCACATCCCCTGGCTTGTGGGTCTTATCATTCTCACCGGTTTCACTATTTCTCATTTATTTTGTTTGTTTTTATCATAGTTTGTGTATACTTATTAGTTATGTTAAATACTTTTGGAACATAATGAGGGTGTAAATACCTATCAGTGAAATGAGTAATGGATTATAGTTTCTGTGTACATCTTCCATTATTTATAGCAAATATGAATTGAGAGGAAACTGTCCAGCATCATGCTAGGTGCTCCATACTTCTTTGTCTCTGAGCTCTTTATTTTGTTTTATGTCTTGCTAGTTTGTGTTGGAAGCATGTCAAGCTAGATCAAGATCGAAACGAGTCACTCTGTTGCCAGTGCACCTAGGCATTTGATAGAGGTGACTCTGCTGCCTATGTCACAGCAGATGTGACTGTTAGTCTTTATCTTGGCCTAGGGCATTGTCAAATTCTTTCTTTTAATAATGATATCTTTTCATTTTTCCCTATATACTATAACATTCTGATACAGTAAAACAATGATAAAAATACTAGGCTCTCATAGCCAATGAAATTTCCTTGCATTTGAGACTAATATTATATTTGTAGACCTGAGTTTAATTATTAAAGGGGGAAATTAAGGTATTTAATTTTATTCCATATTCTTTTCTACCAACTTACTTAGTATCTGTGCCTTGTAAGAGCCTCACATAATTTATTTCAATAATTTATTTGAAAATTTACTGCTTGGCTTTTTTCTTTGTAAACTATCAGTTTTCAAACCTACATTTTTCTGTTGTATTTGAGAATCAAGCCATGCACAGTGCTAAAAAAATAGTTTTTACAAAAGTCAGAGTAGTTGAGTAGTGCTATACTCTGTGTCTGTCCATATGGTAATCACATTTTGTGCACAGAATTCCCGGGATAAGTGTACCACTTCAACTTTATCATCCTCTACCCTATTCTCAACAGATTTCTTTTCAAGTTATTCCTTTAAAGTATGCTGTATCCTTTCACTCCCTGCTCACAACGCTTTAATGGTTTCCTGACATACTCAGAAAATTCCAAAGTCCATACAATGATCTTTCTAGCCATAAATGAATCCCCACTTACTCTTATTAATCTCATCTCATACCACTCTTTCATAGTGTCCTCTTAACATACCAAGCATATTCCTGCCCCAGTCTTTGCATCTATTTTTTTCTGTTGAGAATACTCAGCACCCAGATTATCTTTATGATTTGTTCCCTTAGATCTCTGCTCAAATGTAGTTTATTACAAAGTCCCTCTCTGACCACTGTGTTCACACACACACACACACTTGCACACACACACTGCCTGTCTCAAGCACTATGTTTTTCTTCATAGCCTCTACCCTTCCTGATATATTACATATAGGTTGCTATCCCTTATCCATGTTATGAAATCTTAAAAATTCTGAAAGTGTGAAGTTTATTGTATTTATTTGTTAGCAATATCTGTCATGGTTTGAACTCATTTAATGGTAAAAATTGACCTCATTTGACCTAAGGCTGTTTTAAATATATTTATCCCATACATTATGAATGTTATTATGTACTTTAGAAATTTCAGAATATTTTTTATAAAACCTGAAGTACAGCACCATGCTACCTTTTTAAAATCTAAAATCTTCTGGACATGTGATTTTAAAGCTGTTGGATAATGGACTTTATTTATTTGTGTATTGTCTGTCACCTGCCACTGTTATGGTATTGCTTTTTCCCAGTGCTTAAAAAGTATATGAGCTTTCTCTTCACAACATTTCTGCCACTAGCTGGGAGTGCCGCAGTTTAGTACAGTCCTGAAATTGTCCACCTGGAGTTAGCATCAGAGGAAGGCTCACAAGACTGCCCCTGCTTCAGGTGCCAGAGCCACCCATATTTCTAACTGGCCATTTATAAATTGGGGCTCCCATAAACCCTTCCTGAGGTTCAGTAATCTGCTAAAATGACTCATAAAACCCAGGAAAGGGATTTACTTATTATTATTATTACCAGTCTATTATAATAAACTAGTGATAGTAAAGGATCCAATTTAGGAACAGCCAAATGGAAGAGATGCAGAGGACAAGCAGTGGGGCCGGAGGTTACAGAGGGGCTTGTGCGGAGCCTCCATTCTCCCAACCTTCTGGCACCTTGGTGCGTTCACCAACCCAGCAGCTCTCTGAACTTCATTGTTTCAGGGTTTAACAGAGATTCCATTATGTAGATATGATCGATTAACTCATTGACCGTTGATGATTAATTGAGTCTTCAACCTCTCTCCCCTCGTTGAAAAGGGACAGAAAGTTCCAACTCTCTATTACTTGGTCAGTTCCTCTGGCAACCAGGCCCCATCCTGAAGCTATCTAAAGTCCACCAAGAGCCAGCTCATTGGCATAAACTAGGATAGGGTAGAAAGGGGTTCTTATGAAAAAAAAACTGAAAAAAAAATGCTCTTATCACCCCTAGTATTCAGAAAATTCCAGGCGATTTCAGAGCTCTTTATCAGAAACTGTGGACAAAGGCCAAATATATCTCTTATGATATCACAGTAATTAGTACCTATTTGTGAATAAATGAATGAATTTTTAAGGTTTTTTTCTATAAATAGGGTGACCACCTGATATTCCATCCACTTCTAAGGTCATGTGATCCTTTAAAATATAAAAATAATTTTAGCTATATAACTCCTAATTTCACATGTAAGTTATCAATGTTAGAATTTAACAGAATGATCTATTTTATATATGTTTATGAAGTAATATTATTCATTATAGGCTATTTTGAAATTTAGAAAAATAAAAAGAGAGTAAAAGAATCACTCATGATCCTACTTCCTAGAACTAACTACTATCAAAGGCAAAGTTACAGCATAGTTTTAGGACTTTAATTAACTTTATTTGCAAGTCTAGAATTGAGTAGCAACTCATTCAGTAAAGTGGAATGAGTATTCTAGTAGACTAAACAGAGAGAGTTGGTTTTATTGGGGGAGGTGCAAAGAAAGTAGAAGTAATAAATGCAGGTTGATCATTTCAGAGTTACTTTCTTTGTAAGGGTTAAAGCAGCAAGGATGTCCTTACCCTGCTTGCTAGACCTGCCTTATTTGGAGGTTTAGCTATTATCTCTCTTTTCCTCATGTCTAAGAGGATCATATTAACAGCTTTGACTTGGTGATGTAGAACTTTAGCGTGAGTGACACCATTTTGATTTGGTCTTTCAGGTCTGGTACAGGAGCTAAGTGCAAATCAGCAGCATCTTATAAGTTGTACTTAATACTGTAAGCAATATTTTTAATGTATCTCTGGGTAAACTTTAAAAAATAGATTATACCCTTCATATACTCTTCTGTGATTAAATAGTCTCAACACTGGAAAAATGTACCATGAATGATTTAACTATGGGTTGAATGCACAATTAGCTGCTACTCAGATATAATGTATTATATCACTGTCAGGAAAGATACTTTATAGTAAGAGTTATCTTAATTTCACCAAGACTTAAGTAGTATATTGAAAAATCCATTGATAAATTTGTATAATATCTGTATATCATCAGGAAATGTTAAAATTATTTAAGCTTTTATTTCTTCACTGATAAGGATAATCATATCTGTATCGGTTAACTTAGGGAACCAATTAAAATGATGTCTATGAATATATATATGTATATATTTAGCTATGTACATAGATACATGCATCAAAAGTATTTTACAGACCATAAAATGACACAGTATAAGTTCTCTTACAGAGATCAACACTAATTGTAAGAATTGTAAGTCATTATGGAAAGTACTAGATATGTGCACTAGACTCTGCATGAGAATTCTGAAGTGTGCAATGGATTTTATAAAATTCTCATCAAGGAGCAAAGCATCTGTTATTGGAAAAATTCAGTGTTACTGGATAGCTTATTCAACATAGATTTTTTTTTAAAGTCAGATGTTAAGTGACATTTCTAATATGTCCAGAAACTTGAGGATATTAGCATTAAATTCATAAGAGATTTGTGCCAGCTGTCTTGTTGATTTAAATAATATACAGTGTTCATCTTCGGGATGGGAGAGACTTGATACTAAAGGAAAAAATCAAATCAAATGTCAGTTAAAACTAAAACTTAAAAGGAAGGTTAGACTCTACCACATCTCATAACAAGATGTAACTTTTAGGTCAGGATTTTGTGTTATGACTCTGAAAGCAATTGTAAAAATCATTGTAATTTTTAAATGGTTGAAATAAGGGTGTAAGTTTTAGAGTGACCTATATTTGAATATTTGAGTTTTGGTATATATTTTCAAATTTTTCATATTACTTCATAGTGATTTTTTAAAAGTTAAGTGAAAGTAATATTTTATCCCATTTCCTTTTGATCTGTGAGTCTTCTAGTAAAATTCCATGGTTCTCTGTATGATTTTAGTCACTGTATGAAGTTAATGATTCTTGGGATTAGTCTCAATAGGTTCAGCTATTTATAAGTAAAATCAGTGTCTTATTTACCATAGCTTAATTTAGTAACACTTATTTGACAGTGTCACACAGTCCATGATAGGCGAAATTTAAACTACAAATGCAGACAGAGAGACAGACAATGGAGAGGGAGGTATTCCTCTTTATTAGTATTAAGGCTACACCAAGATAGTATTCAAGGTGGAGCTAAACATAGCCATTTAATAAAATGCACTCAAATAAGTTGTGCAGGAGGAATCAGAATCTACCTAATGAAAGAATCTGTGTGGCCTTGGCAACTACGGATATTAAAAACGATTATGGCATTTAATTCTTATATAAAATATTTAAAACTCAATTCTTATAATAAAATCAAATCTATACATTGATTTACTTTTTTAAATGTTTTATGTGGCTGGATGGCATATTTTCTTTTTGCCAGTAGTGCAAAATGTGTATTATGTAACCTAAAGGAAACAGCAGTAATAAAAGCAATTCTAATAGTTTTCTACTAAGATATTCTCAGCGGGTGGCAATACCATTAAGCATGGGAAAAGTTAGCTTTAAACATAACTGCATCTAAACTAATGTCTTCAGGATTTTTAATCTAGCTTGTGTAATGTGATGATTCAGTTTTCTTTTCATAATGCATTATTGGCGTGATGGAATTGGAGGAATCTCTTCCCATCTGATCTGACCTTCATGTCACTGATGGGGCACAGAGGTCCAAAGTAAAGGGGTAAGGTGCCTACAGTAATGGATGGGCAGGAGAGCCAGGAACAAAAAGTGCTGCAGTCTTCGAAGCACTTATTACACATGGGACAGTTTTAACTTTGCAAATGTATCAGTAGTTTTACATGGGACAATTACAGTAATTTTTAACCTGAAAACCATTAGAAACACTGCATTCCAGTCCAATGTGCTAAGGCTTTCTTTTTCATTCTCCTTATTTGGCTGAGTGTTTTGATGATAATATATTTATATACACTTCTCAATCTTACAAAACATTTTTATACTCTACATTCTCACTTGAGTCTCAGAACAACCTTGTCAAGTATAGAAAGAATACTCACAACAGACAAAGAGACTGGGGCTGAAGAAAATTTAGTAATTTGTTCAAGCATGTAAATAGATAGCAGAGTTAGATTTGAACACAGCCTTCTGACCCCCGAACCTTGTCCTTTCTACTCTGCCCAGCTCATCACATAGTTGGAAATTGCATAAGAATTTTCTTTTAAGTCAGATTTGTCATAACTCATCACTATTGAAAGGAGGTCTCTGGTCATCCCTTTTGTTATGTAGATAACAATGTTTTAAGGTAATAATAGCTCCCACATATTCAATGTCTGCAGTGTGATAGTTGCTTAGTATAGCTGATGCTTAAAATCTATAAAGCATTTTAGAAATAAAGTTTTGCTGCTTATCTGGTAATTTACCCTGGGTGAAAACCCCACTATTGTTTGCCTCCAAAGCCCCAACATTTCATCCACACCCAAGATTCAGGTTTCTTAAAGGAGAATATACCTACATGTTTACAGCATAATCATTCTTTATATGCTGCTCTGAATTATATACTTGAAGGTTCATGTATATACATCTAGATACCTGTTTAGTGATGCAGTAATCATGAAAATACAGTACTGCTATTGTTTCAGAAGCTCATGAAGATTGAAAAAGGAGGCAGGGAAGATAAGTCAGTAGCTGTGTATGCCAATAAAACTGCTACATGACAGTCAGATTTTCTTCTTTGTAATAATATTAACTACTTATGTATACTTTTAGCAAAATGAAAATAACCACCCACCTTAAGTGAAAATATTTAGGTATTCTGTTCAAGTTTATAACATTAAATTGTCTTCTGAAACTTTTATTTAAATTCCTTACTTAATAGATTCAGTATATTCTTAAATTTAAATATAATTTTAGCCTGTTTTGGTTTTAGTAATAAATTTATATTTTACCTTTGAGAGTTTTTTTTCTCTTAGAATAATCTTTGAAACTCGTACTATCAGAACTGACCAGGGCCTCCTTTTCCGGCTCCGCATTTTGCATGGAGCTGATCTGAAGCATTATGATCTTTGTTGGCCACAGGGGTGCAGGAAGGCCCCAGCATTGTGAGCTGTGGGTTGACCACACCCTTAGGGAGATGGGGAAGAGACCAGCAGCTGTTTTGAGTGGCAAGTTCTCCATTGGCTCTGTGTCTCCATTCAGAAGTAGGGCCTCCAACCTCCCAGGGCCCTACTGTGTATATACAGTTCACATCCTATGTTTCATTCTTGAGAGGTTCAATATCTTCCAGTGAAGGTGTTAAAGAAAAAAGTGGACCAGACTCTAAAATTTGACTTTGTGATACTAATTACAAATGCATATGTTGTCAGTCTTAGCACTCTGGAAGGCTGAGGCAGGAAGATTGCAAGCTCAAGCCCAGCCTGGGTAACTTGGCAAATTAGCAAGACTCTGTCTTAAAATTTAAAAGAGCTGGGGAAGTAGCTCTGTGCAAAGGCTCTAGGTTCAATAACTGGTACCATTGGAAAAAAAAGCAATTATTAAATGGTATCATTTGTTGCATTATTTAACTATTACATATTCCATTCTGATATTTTATTATCTTTTTTGCCTAGGTCGAACTGGAAGGTACACCCTTATAGAAAAATGGAGAGATACTGAAAGACACTTAGCACCTCATGAAAATCCTATCATCTCCTTAAACAAATGGGGGCAGTATGCCAGCGATGTACAGCTCATTCTTCGTCGAACGGGGCCATCTCTCAGTGAGCGGCCCACTTCAGATAGTGTGGCTCGGATCCCTGAAAGAACTTTATACAGGCAGAGTCTGCCCCCCTTAGCCAAGCTGAGGCCTCAGGTGGACAAGTCAATCAAAAGGAGAGAACCCAAGAGGAAATCATTGACCTTCACAGGAGGTGCCAAAGGGCTAATAGACATTTTTGGAAAAGGCAAAGAAACTGAATTTAAGCAAAAGATGTTGAATAACTGCAAAACCACAGCAGATGAGTTGAAGAAACTGATCCATTTGCAGACAGAGAAGCTTCAATCCATTGAGAAGCAGTTGGAGTCTAATGAAATAGAAATACGATTTTGGGAGCAAAAATATAATTCTAACATTGAAGAAGAAATCGTCCGCCTGGAGCAAAAGATCAAAAGAAATGATGTAGAAATTGAGGAGGAGGAATTTTGGGAAAATGAATTACAGATTGAACAAGAAAATGAAAAGCAGCTGAAGGATCAACTTCAAGAAATAAGACAGAAAATCACAGAATGTGAAAGCAAATTAAAAGACTATCTGGCACAAATCCAGACCATGGAAAGTAGCCTGGAAGCAGAAAAACTGCAGCGGGAAGTTCAGGAGGCACAAGTCAATGAGGAAGAGGTTAAAGGAAAGATCAGGAAGGTCAAGGGGGAAATCGACGTTCAAGGCCAGCAGAGCCTGAGGCTGGAAAATGGCATTAAAGCCGTGGAAAGATCACTTGGGCAGGCCACCAAGAGGTTACAGGTAAGAGCATTTTTATAAACAGGGTGTTTCATCTATTTAAAAGAATTAATGTACTCTTGGAATTTTATTTCATATTGTGTCTCTTATTCTTAAAGGCTTTAATTTCTCTGTACTGAAAGAATTAGAAACCTAGATAAGTGTAAAAGTCTCATGGAATTCGTGTGATGTTAGAGCTTACACAGGAGAGCAGAACAAGACAGGAGCTAACACTACACTCGTCTTTCCTCTGTGCAAGAGGCTTTTTCTGTGCCACTTGTGGCATTGGCCAACTGGATGGAGGAGAATACGGTCTCAGAGCTGTAATGTTCACTAATAATAAGATAGGGTATCTGACCTCCTTTTAGAGATCGGGAAATTGAAGCCAAATGAGATTATCACAGACTGATCAACCAAGGAGTATGTGGCTAGTTGATTGCATATCTATCTCTACTTCATTGTTACCATCCTGTTTCTTCCCCACGATTTAGGTCTCTTCCCTCCTTTCCTCTCTGTAGTGCCCTCCTTTGTTTTCCTGTGGAGAGGGGCACAAAGAATCTTCTCCAATCTCCCCTCTCCCGTAGATATTTCACCACTTAGACCCTGATCACTCATTTTTTTTTGATATCTGTTCTTAAAGATACTGTGATTGTGATCTAGGAGTTGTGAAGATGTATAAGGTTTTAATAATGAGGCAATAATGAGGCAAATAAATAATGAGGCAAAAAAGAGACACAATTGATTATAACATGGCTATTAAATTAGTTTAAAGTATTAGATAATTTTAAAATTCTCTGTTTAGTCACAGCCACAATTCAGGGTCTCAGTAGCATGTGTATTGGAGAGCACAGATGCCAAATGTTTCCATCACAGCAGGATGCCCTGTTGGACTGAGCTGGTGAGAAGCTTGTTACTCAAAGTGCAGTCCAGGGCAGGTGGCCTTAGGCACACTTGTTAGAGTCTGTATCCTAAGGAGATCCCCGGTCATACCTGTGCACAATGAGATTGGAGAATCTGCTGTGGTGCAAACAAAAACAGCACACAGAGAAAGCTGACATGCCATCAAGAACTGCTATGAGTTTCTTTCTCTCTTACTCACTGTAGTGAGAGGTAAGGTGAATGGTAAAACCACCACTAAAATTTTGAAAATCAGGAATTTTTCATACACCAGAAAGTTATTAGTCTCTGAATTGTCAGTATTTTACTATTGGGTTTCATTTTGACATTTAAAAAGGGATGCACTGGAAGTCATGTTGCCTTTGCTGTTATTTACATTAAACACTAACTTACAATAATCATTGCTAGTAAATCCTGCTACCCATTAAAACGTGTCTAATAATCAAATGACTGACATATCACTAAGTAACCCCTTCACTCAAAGTAAGCACACTTTTAGTGTGTTTTCCCTGACCCTAATCCTTCAAACACACCTGCCTAGGTGGGGCCATGTGCCTTTCCTATAGTGCAGTAGAGAGAGGAAAGAAAGTGACAACAAGCCATTTAAATAACAGGATGGCTCCTTGCTTTTGGAGCTTCCCAGCTGTCTAAACCTTGAGCTCCTTCTCCAGGGCTTTGTAGTTTTCCTACTCTTAGTCAAGGATAAGAGCCTCAGACTAAAAATCTTGCAGGAATCTTGCTTTCTTCATGCTATAAGATAAATCTTAACAATGGAGCTTATGAAAACTGAAACAGCTTATAAAAACTAAGAACTCTTAAGTCTTATGGACCAAATTACTGTGAATCTGCAGTTGGTTATGAAGTGGTTAATAGGAATGTTTGTGATCTGCTCAACAAGGCTGCTGTAACACACTGGGACAAGTAGAAACCAGTATTTATTTATTTATTTTCTCTCTCTCTCTCTCTCTCTCTCTCTCTCTCTCTCTCTCTCTCTCTCTTTCTCTCTCTCTCCCTCTCCTCTTTGGTGAAAGTTTATAGACATGTGCTTATTTTGTATGAATGCATATTGATGTTCCAAAGGAAGCAGCACATGTACTGTGAAAACAGATAGCTGAGCACGATGGCACTCACCTGTATTTCTAGTATTCTAGGTGACTGAGGCAGGAGGACCACAAGTTTGAACCCACCTGGGCAACATAGGAACTTAATGAGACCCTGCCTCAAAAAAAAAAAAAAAAAGTGGTGCGCATGCACCTCAGTGTAAAGGCTTTGGTTCAGTACTGCAAAAAAAAAAAAGACTGAAAAACTGTTGTCTTCCATTTGCTTGGTTTGGGGCCCATTCCAGAGTAACAGTGACCTCTTTCACCCATTATATCCAAATGAACCAGGTTGGTTAAATGTGGCCTTATGAAAGCACCCAACCCCTGCCATGGAAGGACTTTGGCAAGGATATCTTAACTGGCCAACAGTGAATCCTCAAGTCAAAAAGTAATAGTAATAATTTCCATCTAGGACAAAGAACAAGAACTGGAGCAGTTGACCAAAGAGCTGCGGCAAGTCAATCTCCAGCAATTTATCCAGCAAACAGGAACAAAAGTCACTGTCCTGCCAGCAGACCCCATTGAAATAGAGGCTTCTCAGGCAGACATAGAAAGGGGTAAGGTGCTGATAAGAATGCTTTTTCCCTTTCTCCTCGCTAGTGAACTTTGAATAAATTGCTTGTATTCAGTTAAAGTATTATCCTGCCATTCATAGCTAACTTTTAAGTGGACTACTTTTTAAAAATTCAGCCTAATTCCTATTTCTGAGGAAAAACAGTATTTATTCATTATTATATATTTATTACTAATTATAATTTACGTTATTTATTTATTTAAGTGATCAAGTAATCACCAAATTTTATTTCATTCATTTTAATATGCATCTTTATAAAACTTTTTCTGCAAGTGTATGAGTTATATTTATTAATTTTAAATTTTAGATTTTCAGTTCCTTATACCCCTGCTTCTCTTATTCCTTTAAAAGTCTTTGTTATTAATTTGTGTTGCTATTTAAAAGGCAATTATAAATCTGTAAATACATGTGGCCTAAACAACCAAAAGAAGCAAAATGCTTACCTGTTAAACATAGTACTCACTGTTCATATCACCAAATACTGGTTTGTCTAGTAGACTCCCATTTGAGATGGTCTTAGCCTTCTCCTCCCCACCCCAGGGCCCACAGTCATTGCAGGTTCTGTAGGACAGGAAATACTCTAATTTTCAGGTTGCTAAGTGCTCTTGGTTAATGGCTGTCTGTTTCCTGTGTAGAGGCACCATTCCAGTCCGGGTCCCTGAAGCGACCTGGTTCATCTCGGCAGCTCCCCAGTAATCTTCGTATTCTACAGAACCCTATCTCATCTGGTTTTAATCCTGAAGGCATATATGTATAACATTATCTATCTTGAGGGGAGAGATCCAATAAAGTTACTAAGGACAGTAACGTTGTTTCTTCGATTTGTGCCAATGACAGAGGATATATTTCACAAGCCACCATATCTTTTTTTTCTCTCCTAAATTATATACCACTTGGAGCCATACCCTGTGCACTGATGCTAAAGAACAAAGAAACTGTTTCCACACATCAACAGTATTGATATTTTTGTCCAGCAGCTGTAATGCAAAGCCTTCATTTTTATTTGTAGCATTTTGAGATCATTAGGAAAGTATTATACTATGTGTGTACATAATAAACCATGAATTAAGAGTAAAGAGAATTATGTGACTGGCTTAGTTTAATTTATTCCATGTAATTGATTATTGTGTGAATGTTGATGTTTTAATATTTTTTGTTACTACTTATCCTGTGACTTAATTATGTTACATATTGTGCGATCATGACTTAGTGTGCACATTGCCAGACTCCAACCATGCATTGCTAATTTACCACTGAACAAGTGTGAGGTGCTCCACTACCCACACTAATTCCAGAAGAACCCACTGCATTTCATTTATGAACCTGTCCTAGCCATTGCTTTCTTAGATACAATAATTGAGATTTCTTTTTAATGTGGAATTTAATCTTTCTTTACAGTATTTTCAAATATATGAGTGACCACATAACAAATACTTTTCATGACTTAAATTGTTCATATAAAAGGTTTTCAGTCTTTCATATACTGTTGAACAAAACTATAATTGCTGAGTATCTGTCCAAATGGGCATAGGGTTTTCTGTTACACTATATGATTTGTTTAAGCCCTGCCTTAGCATTTATTGCCATGAATCCTCAGAATTAATGTGATACATAAATTATAGCTATCTGAGGATCAGATTGGTATACTTTGGGATGCCAATGATATACCAATGCTATTCTTTAAATTTTTATTCATACTTGTTTGCAGTACATAATGATTATATTCATCTTAGGGGCTATATTTTAAAATAACCCATTTAATAAGTATGGTCTGTTGGTATACACACTCATTGGTAATTTATTCCTTGCACATAATTTATGCTTTTATGGACTATTGTGCTTTTTCCAGTCACCTAGAGGGAGAAGAGATTGGAGTTAGATACATTTTTACTGAGGAAATTAAATTCAGAGTATGTTTTCCTTTTTAGGTTTGACTTTTATAGGATATTAATCTCCATTTGTACATGTGTTGTTTTATTTATAAAACCAAAATGAATCAACACCTCTCCCGTGAGTGGTAACTTAACTAAGATTCACAAGTAATATTTAGACGGATACTGTCAGACACCTCATAGCCAGTTTTACATTCCCTCTCAACAAATTTCGTACTATGTAATTAACACTTTGAAATTTGAGGTAGTTTATCATTCTGAAGAAAAGATATTCTTTGTATTATTTACATGCAACAAAATAAAAGTGGATTAATGTAGTAATGCTATGGTAGCGATAAAGAGATATGTTTTATGCATGAAGGCAACTTTGGATGTTTCAGCATATTTGACTTATTTTTGGTTTAATGAATGCTGATAATGGCTGCTTAGGTTTCCTATGAGAAACTTTAAGAATGGCTATGAAAATATGTAGAAGCTTCTAGAGAACTGAAAGCAATGCAGTGCTACCTTCTCTAGTCCAGGTACATAATAGACCTCCACTGAAAATATTTTCTTTGTATTCCTGGAATTATCAAATTGATCTTGCCATTATACTATTTTCCAGATACTTGAGAAATATTAAATGATTCTTGCCTACATAACCACAGCCTGTGCACATTTGCTGTCAATTTATAACAGTTATTTCATATCTACATATATTTAAAATTAGGATATTTAAAAATCAAAATAATTTGTACCTTTTGTGATAGTAATGATTTATGTATGCCCAATATATGCCTTATTGCTAAAGCATCCCATCCTATACTGAGTGATTTTGTTGTTGTTCAGAGAAATTGAGACTTCATTTACAAAGAAAACCATTTTATAAATTGTATTTTATTTAAATGAAAGTGCTGAACTATAGGTATGTTAAACTTTGTGATTAACTACAAAGATGCCTTGGTGTACCATGAAAAACACAGTGTCAGTATCATTACTTATTATAACTTATTATCAAAATTTACATAATAACTTTAAAGAAAAACAGGTAACACTCCATCAACTTGTAGTCAGGGTTCTCCAGCAGTCTGACAGTTCACCCCTCTGACAACTTCACAGGATTTTCAAGCTGGCGAATAATCTTCATGGACCTAATTACACATAGAAATACTACTTCCTAGATGGAAAGAATATATTAATGTGAATTAATGAATACATTGAGCAGCTGTACTTTTTAATCAATTATATTACTTTTCGAAGCACATAGCCAAGAATATTTTTTAAATCTGTTTCCAAAATAGAAAAATTCATTTCCATAGGAACATCTTAAAATATTTTAGTCTCTTTGTGATCATTTTTACCTATTGTGAATACAAATAAGTTGGATTAAGTCTACATCTTTGGATACATTTTGGAGGGGGGAGCGGGCACTAGTATACAAAAATACCAAATACAAAATTTTGCAATGGGGGGAATATTCAGCTTCTAAATAATAAATTACAAATTTGTGTGGTTTTTTTTAATCAGCAATTTTCTACAATATTATATATACTAAAACTAGTTTTGTTCCCTTTTTTAACAAGGAATAATCTGAAATAACATTGGTCTGTTTGAACTTTTGAGGATCATCATCCTCAGAGATGATTACCTTGTTGTTTTTTTTTCCTTTATAACATATTTTGGTTTGTTTCCATTTCTTTTTGTCTTAATGCACAGAATAATTTTTATATGTGAGGCTTCAATTTTATCAATAGAAGTTACCCTCTTAATTCCCATCAATTCCTATAGTTGAAATTAGTCATAAACAAGAGCTAAAATAAGAGTGATGGAGTAAAGAATATATATAATACTATAAAATATATAATAGAATTTGTGGTATGATATGTGAATTATAGCAATGTATGAGAAGAGTAAGTGAGCCCTTGCTTCCACAATAAAAACAAAATACACTTCTGCGTTAAAAGACAGCTTTCTTTGTGAATAAGAGCAAAATGGTCTTCACAGGAAATAACTTCATTTGAAGCCATTTCTGTGAACCCCTTTCCAAGTTAGGACTGTAATAGATGGAGGAAATAATTTGAAAAAGGCAAAAACTTGATTTTAGACCTGAAAAGGGTGTGGGAACATGAGCAGGTATTGTTGTACATTGCCTTTGAGAAACTGGGCCTTAATTTATATGTATATAATGACGGCTGTGTTCCTCTCTTCTACCTTAAATTGTATTAGTCTATATTTAGCTCATAAGTATTACTTTTATATTCTGTCAGTTTTTTAAGTTGCATGGTTATGCTGTTTGCTACAGTGTTTTTGAGTTCCAAGTGAAGGCTGTCAGCTGTATCAAAAAGTCACAATAATCACTATTTATTCAGTCTTGCTGCTTTACATTTCCCAGTCAAGCTTTTGTTGCCAGGACAGTGACTGCTGAAAGCTGCAGGAGCTCTTTCCAATGCATTTTATATATTTTTGGAAACCAAATAAATGCAAATAACTATTTAGTATATAATTATAATAAACCAGCAGAAATATAAAGGCAATAAAGTATATGCATATATATGAGGGGAGGGGAAAGATGAAAAATATAGATTTACAGCCAGACATGGTAGTAGCCCTAAATGAATTTCTCAGTGTCTTTCTTCATTCACCCTAGGAGGATTTGAGTTGCTGCAGCTTTAAACAGAAAATTACCACATTCACTAATTGTGGGCCATAAGTATGCTTTTAGTAGTGCTTTGCTTATGTACAAAGGAAAGATCTATAATATGTATTATATGTAATTATTTTATTTTGACTTTCATTTCAAAATGTATATTTTCTGATTATTATCATGAGCTGTAAAGCAAAAGATCAATATCTGATATTCTCCCAAATAAATTTTCAGGATTCATTGGGCAGTTGTAAATTTATTTTTTATGCATTTTGTATCTTAAAATATTAATTTTATTTCCTTTCAAAGACGCCAAAGAGAATGGATCTACATATCAGTGACCCCAAACTACATATTTCTTAAATGTAATGCTAATTATTATCCTTAATTAACTATTGCTCCTGCAGTAGCTGCTTCACCTAAGTAGGAACTAATATGCCTCTTTTTTTATTTCAAAAAGTGAGTGGAGGGCTGGGGATTTAGCTCAGTGGTTCCGCCTCCTGCCCTACAAGCGCAAGGACCCGAGTTCGATACCCGTTACCAAAAAAAAAAAAAAGTGAATGGAAAAGTTATTCCCTAAGCATGGGAGACATTTGACATACTCAAATACGCACAGCCACCCGGGAACAGCACTCAATCACAGCTGACAGGTAGCCAGCACCACACTGAATTCAGACCTCTCAGCCCCCAAAGCACTTTCTATATTCCATGGTAATGCTGCTTAAACTACAGTGCCTAGTGTGTGCACCTTAATCACTTTCTAATGTAGAAGTATTAAATCTTACAGGGATAATTATAATATTGCTATATGTAATAGTTATATTTTGGTCAGGAAGTCATATGTGAGTAAATAATGTTATAAAAGCAAACAGAAATGAGAAACTTTGAATTAAGTATTAATTATCCTACATGCTTGCTTGGGGAACTTTTCGAATTTTTATTATCCATGCTGTCCCCCTGTATGTTGTGTTAACGGCACAGCAAGAAATAAGATGCCCAAACTGCAGTGTACCTGACAAGGGCCCTGTGGAGTCTTCAGTGAGCCCAACCGTTAAAGTATCACGGCTTTGCCTCTACCTCAGGCAGGCTACAGTCTAAAGAGCAAGCCTTGCTACAACATATGAAGCGCAATCAAAGGCCTGAAGCTAGCCATGGAAACACACCAGAAGGGGCTCCCCCAACCCAGCACATCAGAGACCCTGGAGGAGGTGACTGAACCAGGAAGGGCTGTCTGGCATGGGCTGGAAGATGGGAAGGTGAAGAAGCTATTGCCAGACCGCGGAGAGCAGGGAGGGCTGAGAGAGGGTAGGTAGGCATCAGATCATGCAGGGCCTGGGTTGCTTGGTAAGCAGTGTGGGCTTTATCCATGGAGCCACAGGGGAGTTTGAAGCACAGAAATGAAGTGATCACATAGGCACAGGAAGGGAGATGCTTCTGGCTGGCGGTGTAGTGAACTGACTGGACCAGGTTCATGATGAGAGGCCAGGAAGGCCACTTAATGAGGACTGTACAAACCAAGCCAGAGACGATGGTAGCTTGAACAAGTAAGAAAGTAGCTGGTGGCTTTATTCATAGAACAAATCTTTATTGAACACCTTCTTTGGGCCAGGAAAAGAATAGGATTGAGCAAGTTGTTAACATCCTAAGTAGACAGCAGTGAAAGGACTCAGTATATAAATAGGCATGCAGAATAAAGAAAGAAATCTCAGGTATTCACAGCTATTCACAGCCTAAAATGGCTGGTGGAAGTGGTGCTATGGATCTCATGCTGAATATTCATAAATACTCTGCTTTGTGTGCAGGCATGCAAGAGATTAGCGCAGGAGGAACAGAGAAGAAAAATATGCATAGCATATTATGTATTCTAGAGTGGACCTTCCACTGGGCTTGGCATGGATGTGGAGGAATCCCTTTTTCTGCATCAGATTTAACCATCTAAGTCCCTTCAGCCAGTATATTAGAATACTATTTTCCCAGTATTATACTGAGATGTGTTCTATATCAACCACTTTCATTCATCTGCCATGTGTATGTATAACGTGACAGAAGGATCTGACACAGTCAAGAATGAAATGAAGAAAGTGGACAATACAAGCTCAACCCTATGCAAAGCCAATACTTTCAAGTTTCCTGCAACTTCAGGATGTGTGACAGCCAAATAACTTTGAATACAAAGTAGCAAAAGGTTTTTAAGCATAAAGCAAATCATAGACACATTAAGCAAAGAACACAACAACTGACAGCACAAAGGGAGGCTGGGTCGCCTGAGGAGCGGTGCAGAATGTACACCAGGAACAACTCTGCCAAGGGGCAGAGTCCCTGGAGACAGACAATTGTAACATTTATTGAGCACAGCTATGAACCACTTTGTCATCTCAGCAATGCCAGCTGCATCAGAACTCTCAAGAGACCACTCCATTTGAGGGGAAAAAAAAAAAGTCATTGAACCAGAATAGATTTCCTTGTAATTTCAGCTTTCCTTAAGGCCACACAGAAGAAACATTTTCTTACCAATGTGACAGCACTTCAGATATTTGAAGACATCTGTCACGTCCCCTGGTTTTCCTCTTTCCTGGGTTAAATACTCCCAATACTTTGAAATACTAACTTCTATCCCTCCTCTCCTGAACATATGCTACATCACATTTGAACAGCTCACCCAGTGCTGATGATAAATCTCCATTTGTGATTGGATCAGCTCAGCATGGAAGACTTGATGTACTGTGATGCATCTTAAAACTAAACTGGGTTTGTTGCTATTTATGTATGCATGTATTTATTTATTTTAGTCTTCTCATAATCACTAAACTGGCAGTTTACTAAAAATCCCATCTTTTTCATATTTTCTGCTGTCCATGAAAACCTCCCCTACCTTGAATGAATGTAATTGAGTTTCTGAATACATGTACAGAAACTTACTTTATCAGAAGTTTAGTGACCTTTGAAAACTAGAAGTAATAAATTCCGGAAGGAAATTGTGGGCTTTAATGTCAGGTAAAATGAGGTTAGTTTTGTCCAGAGCAAGTTCTACAAAAAAACACAAGAGTCAAGTACATGGGAAGAATCAGAGAAGCCCCCACTAAAATGGTCGAGGCCCTCGAAGGTAAAAAGACCTCCACACATTGTATTTATTGAATGCTTACTCATGTTGGCACTGGAAATAGAACAATGAACAAAAAGCCCAAAGTCTCTGCCAAAATGGAGCTTTATTCTAGAAAGAAAAACATGATGAAAAAAGAAGCAAGATACGTAGTATCTTTGGTTGGGGACAAAGCCAAGAAGAAAAAAAGCAGTAAAGAGAAACAGTATCAGAAGTTGCAATTTTATATAAGTGGCTTTAAAAAGCCTCTTCTAGACATTTCTCAGAAGTGTAAATGGGCTATGAATATATGAAAAAATGTTCCACCTATTTGGCTGTTAGAGAAATGAAAACAACACCGATATTCCAATTTACTCCCGAAAGCATGACCATCATCAAAAAATTGAATAATAGGGCCGGGGATTTAGCTCAGTAGAGCTGCTGCCTCCCTTGCATGTGCAAGGTCCCGAGTTCAATCCCTGGTAACAAAAAAAAAAAAAAAAAAATTGAATAATAACAAATGCTGGTGAAGCTGCAGGGAAAAAGGGATACTTCTACATTGTTGGGAAGAATGTAAACTAGTACAACCACTGTTTGGAAATTAGTGTGGAGAGTCCTCCAAAAGCTGAAAATAGAAATTCCATTTGACCATTATTCCCCTTCAAGGTAACAGAAAAAGTTAAAGACATATTATAGTGGTATGTGCATACTTATCTTTATAACACCACAACTCATAATAGCTAAATCTTGGAAGGAGCCTATATGTCCATCAACAGATGAATGGATAAAGAAAATGTGGTATTTATATACAATAAGTGCTGCTCTGCCATAAAGAAAGATAAACGAGTCATCTGTAGGAAAATGGATGTACCATGAGACCATAATACTAAGTGAAATAAACCAGAAGCTTAAATATCACATGGCTTCTATGAGAAATCCAAAATACAGTACTATATAAAGAAATAGATAATAAAAAAGGAAATAGATCTTTTTGCAAATTGTGATGTGTTATGTACATGTACCAACTTCCCACAATGAATGTAACCATATACTGCCAACATGTACTAATAAAAAAAAAAAAAAAAAAAAAAGTCACTGGTGGTAAGATTTGAAGTGGGGGCAGGCCTGGCAGAGATAAGAAGGAGGCATGTGGCTGCATACCCCACATCAGAGTTCAGCAAGAGATTGGAGATTCCTGGGAAGCCCATGGCATCCAGCATTCTGTTTCTAAGCAACTGACTCAGAATGTACATCCCTTTCCTGGCTGGGACCCAGTAACTAAGCCCTTGGACTAGTTACTCATTTTGTCTATCATCTTAAATCTAATAGCATGCAGGAAGAAGTTATTTTGAAGATATCAAGCAAATGTGTCAAATCTGAATTGAATTACCCTCAATATTTCAAATTAAAATCAAACTCATGGGTAAAAATGACCTTTCCTGAAAGATGCAAAACTGGTCAACGGTGTTTTCCAAAACAGTGGCCAAAGGAACAGCCTTTAGATCTAAAGATGCTTTCTTTTACTAGATGGCCCCTTTCAAACTGAATACAGCTGTATAACCTGATATGTATGTATGTAGACATATATTTTTAAACTCAGAATTGTAAGAGCAAGCCATTGTCAGGTACGGTTTTGTAAGGTTAAATGAATATTTCTAGGAGGCTCAAATTTTTTTCAATAAATATCCAAATTATAGATGATATATTCAAGTAATCCTCAACTCTGTACTTGCAGCTCTCTTCTATTTTATTTAGGAATCATTATTCTTTCTGAAAAACAGGAGAATGAAGAGTGGATATCACACCAAAAGCTCAGGTAACAAAAGGAACAATAATCAAGCTGGATACATGAAACTAAAAAGTTGCTGCACACCAAACCAGAGTATTTACGAGCCATGTGTCTGAAAAGGAGTTAATATCCAAAATATAAGGAACTCAAAGAACTTAGGAGTGAAAAACAAATATCCCAATTTAAAAATGAGCAAAGGACCCAAAGAAACATTTTACCAAATACATAAAAATGCCAAATGTGTATATAAACTAATGATCAGCAGAATGCAAATCAAAGCCATGAGACACCAGCTCACACCTGTTAAAATGGTTACTTTGCTATAATCAAAAAGGATGACTTGGCACAATGGCATCTACCTGTCTTCCCAGCTACTTGG